AACCCAGTTTATCTGACCTCAAATGAGGTTTTAAGCCCAGTTTAACTGGCCTTCAATAAAATTTAAGCCCAGTTTATTTTACCCCAAAATAAGTTTTAAAGTTTCAAGGTTCTATCTAGAAAAAAAAATTTTTTCTCAATGCAAAACGTTTTGAAAGATCTTGCATTTGCATTACTTGTATCATGAGAAAGACATTTAACCTACAAAAAAAAAAGATATTCAAATTTACATCGCTCATCTGTGCAACATGAAAGGGATATTTGCATTTGCATCACTTACATCTATACCACAAGAAAAACATTCGTATTTGCATCACTTGCATTTACACTTACACAAGATATTTGCATTCGCACCATAAGAAAATTCATATTTGCACCATGGCATCCATATCCTAAGAAAAAGTATTTGTAGGAGCATTTACATGAAAAGAATATTGTCATTGTCAAATATAGTTACATCAAGCATTTGTATTCTTGCATTTGCATTGAGATTTGTATTTTTATCAACATTTCCATTAGCATCATTTGATCAAGATGGACATTTGTATCATTGATTGCATTCATTAATTCTGATTGGGGAAAAGCCATTTAAAAAAAAAATTAAAATTTTTAAAGTTTCATTGCCTCTGATTATAATGAGCATTTAAAGATTTTGAGATTTGTAAGACCTTCGGGAATAATCTCTAAAAGTCTCTGCGCACGACTTCAAGATTAGAAGATTTTCAAATTTTTAAAATTTCATTGCCTCTGATTATGATGAGCATTCAAAGATTTTGAGATTTGTAAGACCTTCGGGCATAATCTCTAAAAACCTCTGCACACGACTTTCAAGATTAAAATATTTTCAAATTTTAAAGTTTTATTGCCTCTGATTATGAGGAGCATTCAAAGATTTTAAGATTTGTAAGACCTCTAAACATAATCTATAAGACCTCCGAGCATAACTTTCAAGACCTCCGAGCATAATTTCGATTTACGGTGTTATCCCTATTGATTCTTTATTTTTTAACTTGTTGTGTTATCCCAGTCAATTCTGTAAGATCTTCGAGCATTATTCTAAGACCTCCGCGCATAATTTCGATTCGCGGTATTGTCCTGATCGATTTTTTATTTTTGACTTGCGGTGTTATCTCGATCAATTCTATAAGACCTCCAGGCATTATTTCTAAGACCTCCGAGAATAAATTTGATTCGTGGTGTTATCTCGATCAATTTTTATTTCTGATTACGGTGTTATTTCGATCAATTCTGTAAGACCTTCGGGCATAAATTCGATTCACGGTGTTATCCCGATCGATTTCTTATTTTTTAACTTACGGTATTATTCCAGTCGATTCTGTAAGACCTCCGGGCATGATTTGTAAGACTTTCAAGTATAAATTCGATTCACGATGTTATCTCGATCGATTCATTATTTTTTGACTTGCGGTGTCATCCCAATCGTTTTGTGTTTTAAAAAAAAATCACGATTTACTTTCGGACAAAATCGTTGTCTTTGTCTTGGCCCTATTCCTGATTCTCAGTAATGTGTAAAAATGGGCAGTTGTAGACACCGATTTTATCCGGCTCTACTATTTTCATTTCAATATAATATTAATAATTTTAATAATAATAATAATAATAATAATAATAATAATAATTTTAAAAAATAATTATTAACTATTACAAAAAAATAAAAAATAAAAAAACGAGAAAAATTGAAAGTAGGGTGGCTGATGCTACTGTCGCCCCCGACCAACCACCCTACAGCCCTCTGACCAACCCCCTGTGTACCTACACTCACCAGCCTACAGCCACCTACAGCCACCCTACAGCCATCCAAATCCCCTTTTGAACCTATTTAAAAACTTTCAACTTCTTCTCTTTCAGGTTCTCTTTCGGACCCCCTTTCAAGTTCTCTCGGACTCCCATTTTTTAAAGCTCTTTAGGACACACGAAGAGCGGACCCTTTATCACTGCCCAGTCCCCCTTTCAACAAGCTTTTGAATACCCAAAGTCCTAGCCTCCTACACTAAGAAAAACCCAAGCCTCTCACGAAACTTCTTACCCATCAGAAAACCTAACAAATACCCAAACCAAAGAAAATAGACACAAAAAAACAAACACAGTCCTTGCTAGGCGAGGAACCCAGCGCCAAGCTACCTACAAAAAATAAAAAAAAAATCATCATCGGCTTCAGTTTAAAAAAAAAAAGAACAGAAAACTTTGGACCCCAATCTACGTAAATCGGGGTCATTTTCGATAAAAAAGAGATCGAATTCGGAAAGATTGCATCGAAGAGAACTTTCAGAAGAATTTTGACATTTTTCGGTGATCGAAAACCACTGGTAGCGACTGTCGATGGTAACTCAAACCGCAACCTGCACAGTGGTCCAGTGCCGGATTCTAGCCGAAGCCAGAGAGCTCTCCAGAGCTCTGGACCCCTTTTTTTTTTCTGAGAAAGGTTTGAAATGAGCTAAAAAAAATTATTTGATTTTATATAGGAAGCAACAAGCCAAAACGACATCATTTTAGGCTAGGGAGATTCGCGCGTGGACTCGGATCTGACCTAGGATCCGCGTAACCCGACTTGTGGACCTGTTCTTCAACAGCTGCTGACCGGTCTAATTGAACCGGTTTGAATCGGACTGAACCGCTCCTCAGTCGGTTTGACTGAACCGTAAGTCAAGCCAACCCATTTTTAGTCCAGTCGAACAGGTCATTGGTCGAACCGTTTTTCGGTTCGGTTTAGGTAAAAAAAAAATTTTTTTAATTTTCTAATTTTTTTTATATTATTATTTTTGTTATTTTAATTTTTTTTTATTAATGCATGATAAATTCTTAAATTTGGTGGAATAAATGTTCAATTGTTTAAATAATAATAAAATTGAAAACAAATAATAATTAAAAATATATTAAAATGCTCAAAAAAATAATTTTTATTATTTTCCCTACCTAGATGTTGAAGGGATTAAAAATGTTTTTCTAAAAATAATTTGGCCTAAATGTTGGGGAATTACTGTTAATAAATTTTTATAAAAAATAAATATATGAGAAATTATTGATTAATTTTCAAAAATCATTAAAATCGAACTTGCTTCGAAAATCTGCCTAGATGTTGGAGATTTTTAGAGATGTTCGTATTTTCTTAAAAACGAAACCTTAAACATTAATTCTTAATTTTCAAAATCTTAGGTTTCTAAAATCTTCTAAAATCCAAAATCTCCTAAAATCCAAAATCCCTTAAATCCAAACCCTCTAAAATTCGAAACCTCTAAAATCTAAAAGCCCTCAAAATCCGAAATTGCAAACCTTTAAACTCTTAAATCCAAGCCCCAAAATCCAAAATCCCTAAAATCTAAACCCTTAAATCAAAACCCCAAAACTCAAGCTCAACCTAAACTCCAACTCTAAAATTCAAAACCCTAACCTTCAATATCGCTAAATTCAAGCTTTAAACCCTCTAAACCTTAAACCAACTTTCAAAACCTCTACTCAAGCCCTTACTCAAACCTCCTAAAATCCTAATGACACGTGTGAAAATCTCATTTGAAGCAATTTGTTCCCGAATTACCGGCCTAAATGATAGGGTATTTAGGAAATTTTACTTCGTTAAGTCTTTTCACACGATTTCTTAATTCGCATTAATAATAAGATTAATAAATAAAAAGTATAACAGTAAATTGAGATCTTAAATATAAATAGTCGCACCTAAGCTCTGCCTAGATGTTGGAGAGTCAGGGTGGTCTCATTATACTTAAGAATTCAAATTTCAAATTGTATTTCATTTTACATGACATTCATTAGCATTCATACGTTATTGTATTATCATCAATAATTGTCTGCATTATTCTCTTTTTAATTACTACTTGGTGATAAAATATTTTATAATAAAAAAAGAATAATACTTTTTAAAAAAATTATGAATAACAAAATAAAATAAAAATAACATTCCGAAAGAAATAATTCTTGGTATTCTACCTAGATATTATAGAGTCACCAATAATTTTCTATAAAGAGTGTTATTTCATTTTAAGGATTATTGTGTTAAATCTTAAGCGAAAAGAGTTATTCTAAATTCTGCCTAGATGTTGGAGAATTTTAAGATAATTATTTAACTTAAAGATTTTCTCAATATTTCTAAATAAAAAATTTTTAGCAAAATTTTATTTTTCCAAATGAAGGGAATTAGTTTTAAATTTCAAATTAAAACCATTTTTATCCAACATAAAAAATAGTGCGTAATTAAATGGTACCAATTTATGGGCGTTGTGGGGGTGCTAATCATTCCCCACACGTAACCGACTCTCAAGCCCAACCTGATTTTTTGTAGATCAAAATTTATCTTTTTGATAAATATTAAATCCGTTTTTATAAGTTTTATTAAAAGAATAAACTTTTTGGTAGCCAATCATACCCTAACAAAGATTGGTAGCGACTCCCTTTTACTTTTCTCGATTTTAAAACTTCTTTTACATCTGACGATCCAAAATTGTTACAATAGATATCAATAGTAATCTCCATTATCCTGAGATTGCCTATTAATGCCAAAGAGGAAAAGATTGTAAAACGTGTAAACTCATTTTACATTGCTGGTTTAACTTTTTTTATTATTATTGTAGATATTTTATTTTATTCAAAAATTTTTAAGATTGAAAATGGTTTTCGATTGTGAACGAAGTTCAATTGAGAAATTTTGAGCTTAATAAGAAAAGTTTTAATTTTAATTTGATTTAATTTTACTTATATGAAAAAAAAAAGTTAAAAAAAAAAAGAAAAAAAAATGGTTGAAGATTTTACGGGTGAATGATTCATGCAATTACGTTACTGAAATTGATTCATAATAAAAAGTGATTGAATCTTATAAAAACAGCACCGAATCCACCATTACGAGGGGGCATAAAAAAATAAAAAACCTAAAATTTCCCACACAGGGACCCATTACCAGCTTTAATCTCCGAGACCATTCCCCAATACCACCATCACTCGCGTCCTTTTTTTTTTGTATTTCTTCCTCCAGGGTGGCTCACCAGACATGGTTTTCGATTGAGGAAATGTTGAAGCTTAAACAGAAGCTGGTTTCCCTGATTCTGGAAATTGGGATCATTTTCCATTTGGTGATAATGGGGTGGAAAACTCTTATGGTGACAGCCAAGAAATGCTGTCTCGTTCTCTAGGAGGTGGTATGGCAATGGGATCTTTAACAGTGTTTCTCTTGTTTTATTTGGTTCTCCCATTCCTTGCTACTCTCACCCTTGCAGCCGATCCATACTTTTCAGGATCGTTTTATAAGCGCAGCGGGTAACTATACAGCAAACAGCACTTACCAGGCCAACCTCAACAACATTTGCTCTCAACATACGTCTCTGACAGAATTCAACTGTGGGTTCTATAATCTTATGAGCTCCTTGACCAGTTTTGATCTGCAAGACAAGGGCTTGCCTGGAAGTTGTACTCGGCTAAGGTGTAGCGGAACGCGTCCCCACCAGTATCCCACGGTTTGCAATTGGATTCTTGAGCAGAAGGTGTTTTCAGAGGTGTGCGCGCATGCGGGCATTTCCAAGGTTGCGAAGGATTCTTTCTTCGATTTGATACGATCAGATGCAGCTAGGCTGTTAAGGCTGAGGCATCCAGGAGTGATCCACGTGGTCTAAGCTTTGGATGAAAATAAGAACGCGATGGCGATGGTTACTGAGCCATTATTTACGTCGGTGGCTAATACGCTTGGGAATGATGAGAATGTGGCCCTGGTTCGTAAAGATCTTGTAGAGATGGAAATGAATTTGAAGCATGGGTTGTTTCAGATTACAGAATCCTTGGATTTTCTTCATAACAATGCACGTCTTATTCATCTGACTATATCACTTGAGAATGTCCTGATTACATCAAGTGAAGCTTGGAAGCTTGGTAAGTTTGGTTTTGCTATTTCGACAGATCAGGTCTCTAGTAATCTGGTTAATGTGCAGGCCTTCCATTATTCTGAATATGATATTGAAGATTCTGTCATACCTTTTCAACCATCCCCTCCAGGTCATTTCCACGAAGGTTATTTTTCTAATTTTGATTTCTTCTTTCTGCCTGTTTTTTGTAAAGATCTTGAAGCCTACGAGTATTAGGTGCCATTTGTTTCTAATAAAAAAATAATATATATATAAAAAAAATTTTCAAATAAAAAAATAAAAATAAAATTATGACAAAATAAATTCATAGAATTCTATTAAAGAATTTTTATGGATTCATTTTTTTTAAAATGAGATCTAACAAATTATTAAAAAATTTCATAAATAAATTTTCAAAAATAATAACAATAAAAAAATAATTTCAATAAAAATAAAAGAAATAGTTTCAAATAATAATAATTTTTATTCTCTCCAAAGATTGCTTTGAAATGAATCCTACCAAACTATTAGGAGGTTTCATTAATTTTTTTAGGATAAAATAAATTAATAAATTCGACGATGAAATCTCTTCAGAGTGAGACATTAGTTTTCATGAATATTTTTGAGGTGAGAAAATTATCTTAAATTGCTATTAAATTATTAGGACAATTTTATGATTAATTTTCAATACTAAAGTATTTGGTAAAATTATAAAATGATCAAAGCTTGGATAATTCGAAATCAAATTAGTACCATCCTTTGGATGGGTGCTGTGGAGATGTTACAATCTTTCTCAGGTGTAATCGACTCTCGAACCTAATATTTGTCTTGTAAATCAGATTCAATCAGGTAATCAATCACACCTAATCAAAAAAAAATTGATGGCGACTTCTCTAATTCATATCTAGCGGTAAATCCACGAATTTATACGTTATGATAATTATTATTTTGAGTACATATAAAAACAATATACCAAATTCAATGTCTATTAGTTAGGTATATTTACTACTATTTAAATTACTATTCCATGTTTCATTAAAAAAAATTAATATTCCATGAAAATAGTTGAATTAGTTTTTACCATAGTGAATAACTCAACAATTATATACTAGAATATGTAAAGAATTCCATTGGAAGTCTTGCAATAAATCATGCGCTACTGCCACTCCAATTAAGTCCGGCCAAAATAGCTACAATCATTTCAAAACATCATGCATCCATGTAGAATTCCATTAATTTTCTATAGAATTCAACGGTTAGGCACACATAATAATTATGTTTAAAAAAAGTTAAAAGTCCGAGTCCATAAATGTGTAATTGTGCATAATTTCAGTTGTGTTTATACATACTCATAATTTTCATCATTAACTCTGTTATAATAATCAGTTAACTAACCACATTAGCGAGGCTCATTAATTTAATTAATTAACCGCACGTATTTTTTCGTGGCTCATCATTCCAACATGCATTCTTTTTGATAACCATCATAAATGGTTTCTTCATGGTTAATATGCATATATATATGTAATCCAGAAGTTTACGGAAAAAAGAACCAAAGTTGACAAATCTTGATATAAAAAACATAGCACATGCCAGATACTGGAGCTGATGATCAATACATATTATGTGTGTCATTATGTTGGTCTTTGGATCAAATTCCATATTCCATGAACTTCGTCTTTATTGCCAGTCTTGGCACTTAGTACTTTTTCTCTCAGTTATCCAGTCTTCATGATAATATCCTTGTTTGGTAACAGATATTGCAAATAAATTTTCTCATCACTATATATTTTCGTTCATTCTTTATCTTCATTATGTCCAGAGCTCAAATGAGGTTGTATTCTCTCTACTTGGAAGGATCTTCAATCCACAAATTTATCAGCATTTCCAATTGTTTCCCCGTAAATGTGCTAGATTTTCAGTGCATGAACGGTTGCAATTTGCTAAGAGAGACCCAAATTTCTGAGACATTCCTTTAGGAAGGTACTTGGTGCATATGCCATGTTTTCTAATGGACGTGGATCCAATTGGATTCCCTTTGGCCTTTTTCTGTATTCTTTTCCCAACAAATTAATTATATACTACTATTACAACATAAAAATATCAGCTATCTGCCGCGAGTTAGTGCCAAAAGGTATGGGTTTGCCTGAAACAGTTTTTAACTTTTACATTTACGAAAGAACCATAACAGTTTTTAACCATACACCCACATTTTTTTCATAGAGGTTTAAAAATTAGGTTACACAATAGAGAAAATTACCTGGTAGTATTTTTTATTAGTGATATCGAAGAAATCCCTTTCCTATAAGCCCAAACTTTTGAATAAATCTGAAATTTATTTGATTCGTTCACCAATTACCAACAAAAAATTTCGGATAGAGCTTTTTTTCTTTAAAAATTTTTTGAATCCTGATGAATTGGATGCCCTTAAAGGAAGTATTGAAGTTGAAATTACCCCCTTATACGATCAAGTTCCTTTGGCATTTTTGGACCTTTGATCGCTTCTTCCAAAATTTTTTTCCCGTGTGGACCCACAATCGAAATGGTTTCAACGACAAAGAGACTCATTATTTCCCTTTTTGGAAAGAAGACAAGTAGTCATCTGTAAATTGCAATACTTTTGGAGCAACTTTTAATTCTAGTAGACTATAGTTGGACCACTACATCGAACTACATTTGACCTTGTCTTTGATTGAGATTAATATAGTCTTTTATTAACTTCAATGTCCTTATTATAACACTTTTTTATCTATTGCTAATCGCGCCCTTGTCAAATAATTCAAACATGCTACTTGAACTACCCATAGGTTTAATCATTTAGTGAACGTCATATCCATTATCCTCCCCCCAAAGAGCCCCCCAAAAAAAAAAAAAAAATCAGTGTCATACCCTTGAGAGAGGTTCTTAAAATGACCTAGTTTGTAGTTTTTAACATGTTGAATAACTAAATCGTCCATAAAAAAAAAATGAACAATCTGAATTAGGTGAAGGAAAAACAAAAATCGTATCAGGTCAGTTAACAGGACTTGTATTAATATTTAATACAGGATCATTTCAAACCACGCATAAAAAATGCAGTCAATGTATGCAGGGAAAAAGAGTTTGGTTTTGATTCCTCGCTGCATTTTGTTTCAAGAGGTGATAGCTAAAGAGCAAACCAAATACAACATGTCTAACTGGTAGGATTTTGAAAAAAAAAATCTCTCGAGCTATCTAGAATTCGAAAGAAAGACCTTCTAACAAGCAATATCTCCGAATAATGCCTTAAACTGCAATCAATATCATAAAAATAGTAGGATTTGCTTTCAAAGTGAACACAAACATTAAGTACCATCGGTCTAATGGACTAGAAAATTTGACCAAATAAGGCATCTCCTTTTGCAGATCGATAATGATGATAATGATATTCGCGTAAAAGACGAAAGAGACTTCCCGATGCTACAATAATACTTGCACTTACTCAGACCACATGATGTTTACTGCAGGAAGCAAAAAAGAGGCTTTTCTGAAAAAGTTGTGTTTGATGCAAATCCAACGAACCCCACTGAGTCCAAATAAAAGAGGCCTGTATTTTTTTCCCTGTTCAAATTAGTACTCAGCATGTTACAACAAAACATCCATTTCAAAACTAACTGATTATGATCGGTCAGAATCATATGCTTTGCTCCTTTATATTTATCCCACAATGTTGTTGTTCATAATGTTTCCGATTAAGCTGGTGTTTATCCATGGTGGATGCCTAGTTGCTGACTTTCCCTTGCTGGTATGGGCCCTGCTCATTCCACGTTTGTGGCATGCAATTAGTTTACGTTATCAGAATTTAATGTTCACCCCTGAGACTATGACTCTGATTATTCCCAGGTCTTTGTTTCTTTCTCTTTTTTGTTCTCTTTATTCCTCTTCGGACGCAAATCAAAGCTTGAACGCACTAAACTAGAGGACGTTGATTGATGTTAATTTTAACTCCTGCTCATTAGGAAGAAGAAGCAGCCCTGTTGCTTTTTATGACCTTGGCAATCTCGGCAAAGAAGGATCTCAGGTTGTTTACCTCAGCTGAAATAGGTTGAGCGTCTGATCTGCCCATTGAAAATGCATGCATTGCTTGAAGAGTTCGCTAAAACCAAAGGGCCTGATGCCCTTCTAACCATATGCAATATCTCAACCAGTCATCAATAATCAGGAGCCAGGATCGTGGATTACATTATAAAGACATAAATAGACGGTCCAAATTGATCAGAAAAGACCAGAAAGAGAAATGAAAGGATAAAGGTTTTTGCTAGGGTTTCCAATTACTGGTGGAGCCACGTTTGGACTAGGCTCTAGCCTGGCCCAAGGGCTAAAAGTACGTAGTTTTGACTTTCAGTTGACTCTGGAAATCTGGACCTTTACATTGGCAAATTGGCCATGAATGGACCAAGCCTAGCTCAATATTTTTTAGCATTGATTAAGCCCATTGAAGCAAGTGCAGACTTCAGCCTGCTTGAAGGACTTGCTGGATTCAAAGGTCCAAATCTGTGCATCCATACAGACAGTATGATTGGTTCCACAGTTTCGGACAGGGCGGGTTCTCTCTCAAGGCTATGTTATAAACCTCAAAATCAAAGGTGTTGTAGCATATTGTTTTTGGTTGAAATATTTTGCTCACAACCTAAATATGAAAGAGGGATCAGCTTTCAAAAGAAACATGTTTTAGAGTAAGGTGTACTCTATAAGCGATAGTCAAAACTTAATCAAAAAACCGGTAAGGGAGCTAATATATCAGCCTTTTTAATTTTAGTGTGGCTTGTGAGAGATATATCATATACGTTATATGATATACGCACGTTGAAATGTTATTCCATAAGTATCCATGTATGTATCTTCCTCAACTCTTAATTAGATGGACACATTCACACACCATTAATTATTATTCACCGTTCTACCTTCCTCTCCGCTAATACAAGAACTAATATATGCTTAAGGAGGAAATAGGGAAATAACTTCTATTCTATACTCTTCAAAATTTTAATAATATTTTTTATTAAAAATGTATAAATTTTATATATTATTAATAAATAAAATAATATCAACTTATTAATAAAATATAAAATTAAACAATAATTATTATAAATTTGAAAATAACATGCTAGAAAAAGAATATTTCAATTAAAGTAAGTCTTTCAACTTTCAAGGTAACAAAATTAATTCCCTTATCAGTTATCAGCCTCATCCTCCAATCTCTCACGATCTCCATCGAGGCACCGTTACCATAGTTATAATGATCGGTATTGATCAGCCATTCTCATCAGCATCATCGTAATAATCATCGGGGATGGAAGAGGGCAGAGGAAAGAGTGAATCACGCTTAGAAAATGTCAAGAATCTCGAGGATTGAACGGTTGCAGAGGGGACAACACCCTCGATTCAACCACAGTTCCCTCGAACACACCCTACAAAAAGTGTGTCCACATGGGATAAACGCCGCACCTTTCTTCCTCCCCACGCACACGCAGCACATCGAATCACTTACTATTTCCACGCCACTTTTCTCTTTTTCCTCCTCCCCACCACCGCCTTCCGCCTCCTCCAACAGCTTCACCAACGACACCCTAACTGGTGTCCCGGGCGATCGAATCCCCACATTACCCGTCCTAGTACTCGTCGGCGACCGCACGTTACCTCTCTCCGGTTCTTGCGCTGCCCGAAAATGTCGCTCGGCTGCCAAAGCCGAGGCCAGATTCATCCCTGACGAAACCGGAACCGGGTTAATGCAACCTGGGTTCGGATTATGACCAGAAGTCGTTGTTTCTACTTGTTCTTGCTGTTGCTCTTGTTCTTCAACCTCAACTTCATCGTCGTCTCTAACGCTCATGGTCGTTGACCCGAAACCCCAGGTGGTCCCACAACAGCCCATAACTTTAAATCCCAGCCGTTCTTTGAAACTCCTCCTTCTCCTTTCCCTGTCTACACCGTCCATTTGTTCTCTAAGAAATCTCAGGATCGTTCTTGCTTCCTTGTCTCCCCGCAATGACTCCTGCAATATCACACTGAGTTGACTCATTTTTGTGTAACACGAGTATTGAAAATACAAAGAAAAGAAAACACAGAAAACAACCAACTAGCTAGGACGAATATAAGAACGTATTTAAGCAAAAGGAAAAGAGTGTGAAGATGGTTAAGAAGGAGGCAAGCAATCATACAGCAGGCCATGGAAGTCCCGTGAATTTATTACTTGAAACAAAGCAATTAAGAGAATCCCACCACTGGCTTTGATTCACACTAGTGAAAATGACAGAAAAAAAGTAAATGGCTTCTAAAAAAATCTGTTTTTGCAAAGTTTAGAGCGTAATAAATAGTAGCAATAGTAGTACCCCATAGCCCGCTCCACCGTCGTTGAGAAAGGTTTTCCTTTTCAAGTGTAGTAACGGACAAGGACAAAATAGAATTAGAGCAAACATAAAAATAAATAAAAAATAAAGAGAGAGAGAGAGAGAGAAGCTGGGTGATCCTTGTGGATGGCTTTTCTTAGAGTTAGAGCAAAGGGTAGAACTTTGGGGGTATTTTAATTTTGGATTTGATTATCTTTAATTGGTGGGGGCAGGTTTTAATTATTGAGATTAATCAGCAGTATTGCTATACTAATTTTGATGAATGAATTAGTTAAAAGGGTAGTTTTTGTTGTGTTGTAATTAGGACACGGTGTTCGACGGCCAAAAAACCAAGTCAAAACAAAAGGTCGCTGAAGCCGCCGCCGCAACCGAGGTCTCCCGTTTCCAAAGCCAAAGTGTTTCATTTTGCATGTAATTACCTTTTTCTTTCGTTTTCCTTTTGTTATTTTTTATTTAAATAAATACCTTTCTTGTTCTAAATATTTAATGAAAATTCTTAAATTACTATATAACTGTTTATCTTAATAATCTTAGTAAAAATCAAACTCATTTATAAAAACTTTAATTAAACAAATCGATTAATATTTCATGTAAAAGTTGTTTTTTTGGTACGCAAAAATTCTATACATATAAATGACATCATCTAATTTAAATAAAATTAATAATAATTTGAATTATGTTGTTTGTGAATAAAAATCATTTATTTTTTTGGTTCGATAGTTTTAGTTTCAAGATAACATTTTCTTTCCCTATTTATAGCCACTTGCTGTATTTTCATGAAAACTGCATTTTATGCATGTCAGGCAAAATCAAAATTATGAAATCCAATTTTTTCCTAACCTAAGAATATAAAGACTACATATGGTTTTTTATAGGTTTATTTATAATTTAGATATAGTGGCTTTAAGTTCAATACTAAGCCATGCTTCTATAGATTAGCATGACGATGCATGCCTGCCTAATTGGTTTAATTGTGTAATTAATGCGAAAGACTTAAAAGGCTCCAACTTAACTTGCGTGAGTTGTGCAAAAAGTTGCGATAGGGATGCAAGTCATCCTCCTTCCACTCTTTGAATTCTTTTTATTTTAAAAGTCGGTCCAAACTCCATATATCAGTTTCTTGAGGTCAAGCTCATATGAGCTGTCAGCGGTGCTGATCCTCTTTTCCGGTGAGATTCATACTTTACACTATTAAGCCCGCATTAATTATATATGTATATATATATGGTCATCATTAACCAAACATTGATAAGAAAATTTGTTAATAAAATTCAGATTCTTGCCCCTTAAAGTCTAATCTCTACAGGCAACTCAGCTGTTTTATTCCATTTTAAGTCAAATTGAAACAATGATTGATATATCAATTTTTTTTTTATCTGGAAAGCATGCATTTCATAAATGATTGATATATCAATTTCAAATCAACAATTTGCCCTCCATATGGACGCCACCAACAGAGGCATCTTATCTCCCTTTCCTCAACAAATCTCCTACCTCAGATTTGGCCCACAACCAGAGTATAATGCAATTTTGAATACCCTCACGGTGCACACGATCAGTGTCATGAGTCAACATTGTATAGGACGATGGTCGAAACTTAGGTTATTATGAGCCACCCATATATAGGGTCATGACCGAATAAATCTCTTGTGCTAGAAAAAGTGTCAACATTTCAAACATTGTAATGATTAGTGGTAGCATAGCTCTAAAATCTCTAAGGTTCTTTAGGAGATGAACGGGCAACGTACTGTTGGGCTATCTTACCGGTCGTGATACAGGCCTAGGCCATCCACCAAAGGTTACCCCCTTGGCCTTGACGATGGTGGGAGTCCCGATGTAATATCCTCGATTTTAATAAAATTCACCTCTGATTTGAATGTTCCGATTATTGCCTTGATGTGTTTTTCTTTTGTCGATGTGAATGTGCCTTCTTATGTGTGCTTAATGTGCCTTCTTATGTGTGCTTGAGATTGATCTCGATATGAATGTGTCTTATTGCGTATGCTAGGGACTAACTATGGCTTATGGTTATTTGTTCAGATATCGAACTATTGAGGGTTGACTTGGGTGGGAGCGTCCATTCAAGTGCCGCACGAGCTATTGCTTGTTGAGAGAAAGCCTAATCCGTGACACGTGGTATTAGAGCATGGTTAAGAAGTGTTAGAAAATGGATGAGATGGCCACAAGTGGTGGGCCCAATTATCAATAGAGACTTGAAGAACTTGAGACCGCGATGACCACAGTGAAAACTCACATAGTGACTAAAGATCGATTGAGGGAGATCGAGAGAATCCAGTGTGAGTTATCCGACACTCTCCACAACGTGAACGAGGAGGCTAAAGATGCCTTGAATGTTCTTCAAAAGGAGTTTGAGGAGTTCAGAGCACAAGTGAGCATCATACAAATAGCTATGGCCAGATCGAGTTCGAGCTCAATGAAAAGAGGAAAAAAGATCAAGGTGCCGGAGCTTCGATGCTATGAGAGGGCAAGAGATTCCAAGGAGCTTGAAAACTTTCTGTTTGACATGGAGCAGTACTTTCGAACTGTACACATGGATTCAGAGGAAGACAAGGTAGTAATAGCGTTGATGTACCTCATAGGAGATGTCAAGCTATGATGGCGCTCCAAGTTTGTCAATAACGAGTATCCGATTAAGACTTGGACGGACCTAAAACAAGAACTAAAAAACTAATTTTTCCCTGAGAATGTAGAGTATATGGCCCGAAGGAAACTTCGAGAATTGGTGCAAACAGGAACAGTGCGAGAATTTGTAAGGAGTTTTTTTACCCTGATGTTGGATATTCAAGACATGTCCGAAAAAGACAAGATGTTTTATTTTTTTGAGGGCCTTAAGCCTTGGGCCAAGACAGAACTACAAAGACAAAAAGTGCAAGACGTGGCCACGATCATGGCTGTAGCTAAATGTCTCCACGATTATAATGATGGCTCCTCAAAATGAAAAAATCTTCCATCAGCTGGCAGTAGCTTCAACTTTGAGAGTGAGAGAAAGATGACTAGGTTAGATTGGCCCTTCAGTGGAGGATCAAACATGAGATTTTTTAGTCTAGATAGCACCCAACCTAAGATAAATAACGTAGTGATTTTCAAGCCTAAGCAACCACTAGCTTGTTTCTTATGTAAGGGTCACATCGGGTGATCAAATGCCCATACAAAATAGCCCTTAATGCTTTAAGAGCCTCGTCTCAAGAGTCTGTAAAAGCGTCAGAGAGCGTTGAAGAGAAGCCAGCCATGATGGGTTCAATAAGGTTTCTCAAAGCCCTTCACACCCAACTGAACATAATAAAGAAAGAGTAGGGTAGAGGCCTGATATATGTGAACTTAATTATCAATGAAAAGGCCACCAGGGTTATGGTAGATACGGATGCAATCGATACTTTCATCACACCAGAAGAAGAAAAAAGATGTGGTCTCCAAGTTAGCAAAAACTGTGAGTGAATGAAGGCGGTCAATTCGCCAACCTTTACGATCAATGGAAGCTCCAAGAGTGTGACGACTAAATTAGAGCCATGGAAAGAAAAGGTAGACTTTACAGTTTCCCTCATGGATGACTTTGATGTCATCCTCGGATTGAACTTCATGATGTTGGCTCAGGTGATCCCTATCCCTATCACTAGCTGCTTGTTGTTCTTAAGAGAACACCTATGTGTGGTGCCGGTCACTATCCTACTAAAGAATGAGAAAAAAATGATCTCAATTTTACAGTTCAAGAAAAGGGTAAAGAGAGAAGAACCCTCTTCTGTGGTCATGTCGATTTACAAAGAAGGGTTGGGAGTGGAACCGATACCCGATGGCATGAAAAAAGTGTTAGAAGAATTTGAAGAGGTGATGCCAGGGATGTTGCTTAAGGTTCCACCTCCTTGACAAGCCGTGGACCATGAAATTGAGCTCCTCTCAGGAGTTAAACCCCCTGCTAGAGCCCCTTACCGCATGGCTCCGCTAGAGTTAACCGAACTAAAAAAATAGTTAGATAAGCTTCTATAGGCCGGGTTCATTAAAAAATCAAAGGCTCTTTTCGAAGCACCAATGCTATTTCAAAAGAAGCATGATGAAAGTTTGTAATTATATGTTGACTACAGAGCCCTGAACAAAGTCACCATGAAAAATAAATATCCCATCCCTCTGATAACAGATTTGTTTGATCAACTAAGTTGGGCTAAGTACTTTTCTAAATTACACTTGAAATCTGACAACCATCAGGTCAGAATCGTTGAGGGAGATGAGTCAAAGATCACTTGTGTAACACGGTATAATGCATTTAAATTTCTTGTTATGCCCTTTGGACTGACCAATGCTCCTGCCACATTTTGTACATTGATGAATCAGGTGTTTCATGACTATCTAGATAAATTTGTAGAAATCTATTTAGACGACATAGTGGTATATAGCTCCATTCTGAAAGAACATCAAAAACACTTACGCCAAGTGCTTCGAAGATTATAAGACCACCAGTTATATGTGAAAAGGGAAAAATGTATATTTGCTCAGACCCAAATCCACTTTCTCGATCACATTGTCGAACGTGGCCTCATTCAAATGGACATGAAAAAGGTTAGGACCATCAAAGAGTGGACAACACCAAAAAATATTAGTGAACTTCGCTCGTTTTTGGGACTAGCTAACTATTATAGAAGGTTTGTGAAATGATACTCTCGCAAGACCACGACTCTCACGAAGCTATTAAAAAAGAAGCATAAATGGTGTTGGACAAGTGAATGCTAAGAGGCCTTTGAGGGATTGAAAGATGCTATTATGAAGGATCCTATCTTCTCTCTCTCTGATATTGAAAAGCCTTTCGAAGTTCAAACGGATGCATTTGATTTCGCTATTAAGAGAGTGCTTTTACAATAACATCACCTAATAGCATTTGAAAGTAAGAAGCTAAGCGAAACTGAGAGGAAATATACGGCCCAAAAAAAAGAACTCTTAGTGGTAGTTCACTGCTTGAGGGCTTGGTGACATTATTTTTTGGGTTCACACTTTGTCGTGATGACAAACAATGCGACCGTTAGCCATTTTTTCACCTAACCAAAGCTTACAGCGAAACAAGCAAAATGGCAAGAATTTTTAGCGGAGTTTGACTTTCGTTTTGAACACATCACTGAAAAAACCAATCAAGTGATCGATGCATTGAGCAGACGAATAGAGTTAGTAGCCCTTAGAAGAATTACCTCAGTGACGGTTAGCAGAGTCACGATAGACATTCGTAAGTTAATTAAAGATCATTTAGGGAAAGATCCGCAGGCCAGTGCCATCCCGAAGCTAGTTGAAAAAAGGAAGTTCAAGTACTTTTAGTAAGAAAATGAGGTCTTATGAACCAAGAGGCCCCGATTGTTTGTGCTAAGAGTAGGAGGTCTGAGATAAATGCTGATGAGAAAATATCATGACACATCATGGGCCGAACATCCAGGCTGGCAATGCATTTTGGCTTTATTGAAACAGGGATACTATTAGCCTCACATACGACAAGACGTGATGGACTATACAAAGACTTGCCTCATTTGTCAACAAGACAAAGTTAAAAGAAAAAAACTGTCGGCATGCTTGAATCACTACTGATGCCAGCTAGATCATGGGAAAGCATTTCTCTCGATTTCATTTCAAGCCTACCCAAGGTTGGTGATCTTGGAACTATTTTGGTGGTGATTGATCATTTTTCTAAGTACGCCACATTCATTCCCACTCATAAGTATTGTACTCCGAAAGGCACAACTCGACTATTGTTTAAACATGTGGTCAAATACTGAGACCTCCCTCAAAACATTGTAAGCGATAGAGATTCGATATTCACGGGATCTTTTCGGAGAGAATTTTTTAAGATATTGGGGTCCTAACTTAACATCTCCTCAAGCACCACTCTCAAACCGACGGTCAAACGAAATGGTTCAATGGATTACTAGAGGAATACTTAAGGCACTTTGTTCAAGCCAATCAAAAAATTGGCCTTCGTTATTGGATGTTGCTCAGCTTTGCTTTAATTCTAACAAAAGCTCTTCCATTAACAAGAGCCCATTTGAGGTGGTCATCGGATAATTACCAAGGCTATCCCATACTTTCTTGGAGTAATATGGAGGGAAAAATCTAAAAGCCTTCAACCTCGACAAGGAGTGGAAACAAAACACTGAGATTGCACAAGCCTACCTGGAGAAAGCATAGAAGCGAATGAAGAAATAGGCAGACAAAGGTCACAGGGCACAATAATTTCAAGTTGGTGATTTGGTTATTGTTCAACTAGTCCCTAAACAAACCAGGTTCTTAAGAAAGAGAGATCGTAGACTAGTGCGTAAATATGAGGGTCCAATGAAGATCTTTTTCAATATGGGGAATGTTTCTTACAAAATCGACCCACCAAAGTGGATGAAGGTGCACCCAGTATTTCATGTGAGCAATTGAAACCTTTTCATGCAAATCCTATAGATGTTAGCCGAAAGGAGCCAACCAGAGTCGTCATTACCATGAAACCACCATTAGAGCGTCAAGTCGAAGAGATCTTAGCCGATAGAGAAACCAAGGTATCTCGAAGACTAGTTTGTAAATACTTAGTGAAATGGAATGGATTAGAACTAGAAGAAACCAGCTGGGAAAGGGAACATGACCTTCGAAGATTCAAGAGAAAGATTGAAGAATTTCAAGCTAGCAAGTCGACGAGGACGTCAATAGAATAGGTAGGGGAGGATGTCATGAGCCAACCTTGTATAGGGCCATGACCGAGGCTTAGGTTGTCATGAGCTACCCATGTATAGGGCCATGACCGGGTAGATCTCTTGTGCTAGAAAAAGTATCCCCATTTCAAACATTATAATGATTAGTGGTAGCATAGCTCTAAAATCTCTAAGGCTCTTTAGGGGGGTGAGCAGGCAGCATACTGTTGGGCTGTCTCACCAGTCGCAATACAGGCCTAGACCATCCACCCAAGGGCTGCCCCCTAGCCCTGGCAATGGTGGGAAGTCCCGATGTAATATCCTCGATTTTAATAAAATTCACCTCCGATTCGAATGTCTCGATTGTTACCTTGATGTGTTTTTTCTTTTTGTCGATGTGAATGTGCCGTCTTATGTGTGCTTGAGATTGATTTCGATATGAATGTGTCTTATCGCATATGCTAAAGACTAACTGTAGCTTATGATTATTTGTTCAGATATCGAACTATCGATGGTTGACTTTGGTGAAAGCGTCCATTCAAGTATCGCACAGGCTATTACTTGTTGAGAGAAAACTTAGTCTGTGACAATCAGTCTATGCCAGAATGCCACCTAGGAAAAGGTAGCTTTCAATCCCATTGCCGTTCTTCCATTCACGTAACAAATCTATGTCAGCAAACAAAATTTTAATAAACTTCTCAATCTAGGCAGGCCAATGAGACAAGTCAAGCATGCATGAGTTTCATTTCTCTTTCAACATTTATAATTAATTTGTTTCATCTGATTAGTATTAAGAACTTGATATATATTTCATGTGTGTAAATCTTATATCGATTGTTTACATCTTCATTTAAACGAGGGGGAATGCACATTCTTACCATTGAATAAAATGTTTAAATTTATCATGTAAGATATATTTGATTGTTCAATCTAAGGTTAAAATGTAAGAATGTACTTTGGACTAGTAATTGTACTTGAGGGGTAATTAATTAGCTAATTATCAAGTACGAATCAGGAAAAAGGAAAAACCAAAAAGCAGTAAAATTTACTCTCGAATTTCATATTTAACCAAGTGTGTTTCGCATGGGATTCCACTGCCATAATGAGCAGAACTCTCGAGGGTTTTCAAATTAGAAAATTAGAAAATTGATTTTACTGTCAACCCGACAAAACTATGCCTTCAGTCAACAATCAGAAAGTTGTCCTTCTTGTTACCTAATCTTTGAATATTTACCATTAGCATGTCGCTACTTCAGAATCCATGTGATTAGTTTAGACACATCTTCTGCTTTGACAGGACTGATCTTTAAATGGAATCAATCAAGCTATAAGCTGGAACTTTCCTGATTCCCGCTTCTACCATTGCTTTCCTCAAGTCAGCTGCACGATCCCATCTCTCCTTATCAGCATTTATGTTAGACAACGCTACATACAGCCCACAACGTCGTGGCTGCAACTCAAGCAACCTTCTACCCACTTCATTTCCAAGTTCAATGGCCCCATGAATCTTAAAAGCGCCTAAAAGAGCCCCCGAAACAGAAGCATCAGGTTGAAATGGCATAGTCCTCACAAACTCAGTTGCTTCAGTCAAAAGGCCCGCTCTGCCCAAAAGATCAACCATACACCCATAGTGCTCCATTATTGGCACAATGCCATATTGACACGACATTGATTGAAAGAATTCTGAACCCAACTCCACTTTCTTGGTGCGAGCACAAGCCGTAAGAACAGCTACAAATGTAATCTCATTCGGACACACTCCCTCTACCTTCATCTTCTCGAACAAATCCAAAGCTTCCTTTTCTCTGCCATTACATGCAAGCGAAGAGATCATTGCATTCCAAGTACAAACCTCTCTATTCAACATTTGATTAAAAATTCTGATGGCAATCTCTAAACAACCTTTCTTTCCATAAAGATCAATCAATGCTGTTCCCATAAAAACAGTCATAACAACCTTGTTTCTAAAAATATATCCATGTATCTGCCTCCCATGGTAAAAACCACCTCGGCCTTCTAAATTAGCACAACAAAAGAGAAGGTTAACATAAGTAGCCTCATTCGGTTTCACCAAAAAATCTATCATCTTCTTAAAAACCTGAATTGCCTTTGTAAACTGTTTGCTCCTTGCAAAACCATTAATAACACTTGTCCAAGACACCACATCCTTCTCAATCATCCTTTCAAAGAGGAAGAGCGCAGAACCCATATCACCATTTCTCCCAAAAGCATCAAGCATTGCATTACACGAGACAATGCAAGGGTTAAAAATTTCTTCAAACACTTTACGTGCATTACATAGGCTACCGAGTTTAGCATAAAGCCAGAGCATTGATGTTTGCACAAATGGGTCAGTCAATACGCCACGTTTTAGTGCTTGTGCATGGAGGGGTGAGCAAATGAGGGAAGCTAAGGAGAGAGATGTGGAAGCAGCTTTGAAAAGGTGAGTGAAAGTATGGCCATTGGGGGGTGTTTGATGACCAAGCATGCGGGTGAAAAGTATAAGTGAACGATGAAATGGCTTTATGTTGAGATAGGCTCTTATTAAGGTGTTGTAAATGAGGGTGGTTTTCCATTTTGAACTTGTGTTTTGGGGAATATTGAGGAGGAGACCATTGGTGATGAGGAGCGAATGGATTTGGTTGATTTGGTTTGGGCGTTTGATGAAACGCTGAAGCTGTTGTAGTAGAAACTCAGAGCTCATGCGCTTTTTTGGGTTTAAAAGATGACGCTTCCAGTTTATATAATTGGGAATGGGGGTTTTAAAGCACTAAAGCCCCAATAAACCAAGTTAATATATAGCATGGGCGTCTTGGCCCTTTTCCCTATGTGCTAGAGAGTTGAGAGGCCTAGAACCAATTTTTAATTATAAAGGCAGAAGAACCGTCAATCCATCATAAGGTCACGGACTCACGACTCACGGCCTCACGGGGACTAAACTAGTGAAATTCCTTGCAAGCTATTTAGTACTAATCCGGTTAATATTTAAGTTTGACTTGATTATCGAGTCGCGTTAATCGATTACGAATTAAATTAAATTTAAATATTTTAATATTTAATTAGAGAAGCTTACAAGTTTAATTAAATATTTAGATTTTTTATATATTTAAAATGTATTTATTATACAAAATTATTATAGGATAGAATAAAATAATATTATAAATAAAATAAAACAAAATAAAATAATTTTATATTATATTTGATATACGTAATAATTAAGATAAAATAATTTATTTATTAATCAAAATTATTTTTTTAAAAATTTGTATAATTTAAATTATTGATATAATTTTTAAAGATTTTATAAAACATATAAGTTCAATATCATGAATTAAAAATAGTTTTTTTTTTTATTTTGAAAGGTTTGAATCATTTTATATCAAAAAAATATTAATTTCCTTTATAATCTTGTTTATTTTTTTTAGATTAAACCAAATATAATACATGATAATTATCATAGTAAATACTAAATATGACTTTAATATTTTATATACATATATTTTTAGTTCTTATTTTTTAAATTTGTCATGTAAATATTATTATATAAAATCATTCATTTATCATGTATGATCATTGATTTATTATGTAAGTATCATTTATTTTTCATGTCAGTTTTATTTATTTATTAATTTTACATATAAAAGCCTTTTAATTTCTTACATTTAATTTTCAATATTTTTAGAACTAACCCTTTCTCATTTCTCACAGGATTAAACGCCCCCCATTTGTTAAACCCCAAAAAAATGTTTCATAATTTTTTCTTCCGCCTTATTCATGGTTGTAGTGACAACTATAGTTATTACAGTAAGACTGATCATTTAGTTGGTGTCAAAAACATTCAGAATTTCATATATGATGACATATTATGAAGGTTTCGAGTAAAACTTGGATGCTGGGTAATTCAGGAACTGGTAAGTTCAGAGAATGGTGATCCATTACTTATTTATAAGCAGGGGCCAAGTCAGGTTTTTTACTTTATAGGGAGTAAGGTAAATTGATAAAATAAAAAAATAATGTAAAATGAATTAATGTTAAATAAAATAATAATGTAATTAAATAAAAAAATATAAATTTCTTTTTATGATTAAATGAAATTTTTTGGATATTTAAGAACAATTAAAATCTAATAATTTTTTGAAAAAATAAAGAATAAAGGTAATACATTAAAAGGTTGAGTTTACAAATGAAAAGTTCGGTAAAAATTAAAAAAAAAAAAACACTTATAATGTACAATTAATTTTGTAATTTTATGTGTACAATATATATAAATAGTTAAATTTTAAAAAATAAAATTTCGTTTTAAGGAATTAAAAATTTTAGATAATAATGATTACATTAAAAAATAAATTTTTATTGAAAAGGAAAAAAAAATTATTTATTGTATCTATAAATAAAATTTATTATATCATTATAATTGTTCCTAAAGAAAAACCAAATTATTAATTTTTTGAGAAGCAAAATATAATTTTACTTTTTTTTTGGATGAAAATATACTTAATTAATTTTAAAAAACCAAGAGGAGGCCAGGCCCTGCCGGCCCCCTTCTAGAATCGCCTATGTTTTGGGGTGCACTTGACTTCTAAATATCTATCGTTTAGAGCCCATCGATTGCAACAACGAATCGCCGACTTCTTCAAACCAGGAAGTGCATCAATTTCTACCGTCGGTTTAGGGGAATATAGCTGGAATGAGGCCTCGTTCGAGGGAACATTACGACTTCTTCGAACTTTGATAGTTATGTATTTGTTTATTGAAAACAAAAAGTCCCTTATTTCCGATTAGTTCAAGCTGTACTTTCTTTATATTTACTAACGAACCACCGGGATGATTTACACAAGTTTGATGGAGATTTTTACGTTCCTTGAATTATTGAAAATTTTCAGGCTTTTTTTAATGAAATTGACTTCAAATATAAACCAGGATTACTAAGTTTCTTGAATCATTGCCAGGATGGATTTTGAAGGTTAGTCCGAGAGATGACTGGTTGCAAGAGGGTCCATTTGAGGTAAAATTACTGCATTTTAGAAATTTGAAATCTCTATCTTTTTTTCACAAAAAAAAAAAAAAAATTCTGTCTGATTAATTTCAATTGAACATTCATTATATCTAAACAAATGGTTGATATGATCTAGACGTGTTTTACATGAGTTTGATGGATGATTTATCATATCCTCTACTATCGTTTGATTATTACAAGATTCCAACTCATTTTAATGTAATAGTTTGGAAATATAAACCCGATTATTCAGCCATTCATTATATGCCTTTGACAAAATTGTACGAAAATGATAATTATGAGAAGAAAAGAAACTGAAAATCACAGCAATCCACGTGATATTATCTAATGTATATATAAATAAAAAATAAAAAAAATAATTTTCAATCTTTTATATTTATAATTACATGAATCTAATAAAACTGAACTCAAATAACGTTAAAAGAATTATAAATCAAGTTTATATAAAAAATAAAATTCAACCAAATTTAAATTAAATTTTAAATCTCAAAATTTTAGTCAAACTGAGATAAAAAATATATCGACTATGCCAGCAAGGTAATCTTGCCTTAGGCCTATGAGTATGGCCGCGTTTTTCTCCATTGTTGTTAGAATTTTATATTTTTCAGTCATACAAACAAAAAATCTTTGGCATGAATTGTGAACTGTTGATCGGTTATGAAAAAACCACATCCTTGTATTTTGTTTCATACATACAAAATTGCAAACAAACAATGGATGATTCATTTCTGCTTCTCTTGCGTGTAGTTTCCAACATAACCAATTTCAATATAGTGGAAGTAGGCTTGGGAGATATTTTAGGATTAGAAGCTTCGAGAGTTCGTTTGCACGCCAACAACGTGCCCACGGCCCATGCAATCTGCCTCGAGACAGTTGCTAAATTCGATTAAAATACCATATGCTTCAAAATTGAGGATAAAATGGTCATTTAGCTTTGTTCCTGACAACTATTTAGGAATTACATCTCCGGTTTCTTGTTTAGGTCGTTGTCTAAGTTGTATAGTGATAGATATTCATCCCCCTCATAGATCCCCAGTTTTCTCTGTAAATTTCACAACGTCAAAACCCAAAAACCATGGCTACAGTTTCTCAATTGAATAACTTTCCGTGCAAGATCGTCTTAACAACTCCACAACACCATAAAGTCAACTCAAAAACTTCAATTCTGCCTGTGAACTCTATCAATCGAACTCCGAATTCGATCAAGAAATCTCAAATTTTTTCCAAAAATTCAATCCGGGCAAGACCAGTGTTCCAGGTCCGTGCTGTGGATGATGATGAATGGGGCCCAGACAGGGAGGAGGAGCCAGTAACAGAGAGTACTGGAGTGGCGGTGGCAGAGGAAGAGAAGCCTAAGGAAGTGGTGGAAATCGAGAGCTTGAAGAAAGCTTTGGTGGATTCTTTTTATGGGACTGATCGTGGCTTGAAAGCTACTAGTGAGACCAGAGCTGAGATTTTTGAGCTTATAACCCAGCTCGAGGCCAAGAATCCAACTCCTGCACCTACTGAGGCGTTGCCTCTGCTCAATGGCAAATGGATTCTCGCGTAAGTTCTCTGTCTTGTTGCTAACAAAACGTTGGTAAAAAAGAGAATTATGTGCTATATTACCTACGGCTGATTGGGTGGTTAATAGAATTACATGTAGCCTATACTGCCTAGTTAAGCTATTGTTAGAAATACTATATATATCATCTAGGAGGTATGAAATTAAAAAGTTTCTGGGTAGGTTTGGTTAATCATTTCTTTGTTGTTAAAGGCAAAGTATTTACTGCAAATCGGTTGTTTTGTTGATATTATGAACTCAATAAATCACATAGCATCATGATCTGACCTCATAGGCCTTTTTCAATAACTGAAAATGGGCTATGGTAAGTGTTAACTTCATGGTCTAGTACTTTGTTTAGGTTAGGTTTCTTTTTAACATCCAATAAATTGGACATCCTATTAATATGAGGTCTTTAAGCAGCCTAATCCTTCTGCATCTTAACCTTTTAGCAGTGGACGTTGCTTTACAAGCATTTCTTCTAATTCTAGTTGATAGACCATTTGGGTAAACGGATTTCCTGAGTTGTGTGATTCATGTGGGACTAGATAGGTTCATAAAACAGCTAAAGGAAAATATATAATGATCTGGTTTGTAAAATCATTAGTTCCCTTGGAATTTGTAAATGTTTCTGGCATATGAAAGAGGCTAAAGCAAACTATGAAAATATAAAAAAGGATAAGTGGTAAAAGAAACTCTGATTGCGTAGGGCAATCTAATGCTACGTAATTTGTTCTGGAACTATTCTTCACGGTGTTTTATGCATCCAAAAAGAAGTTGCTGAAAGATGTTTTCAGGAAAAACATTATTTTTGGTGAAAATAAATAAAGGGAAGCTTGGGGGTGTATCTGTCGCTCCGTAAATGAACTGATGGGGAAAAAAAAAAACACATATGATTGAAGTTCATGATGCTACTGGATAGGAATTGTTTTCATGTTTTTATCTAAGTTTCTTAGCTTTTTCTCCTTTATCAGTGGCATTCCTTAGGGTGCTGCTTGGAGTTAATCATAAAGTACAATGTCAATATTGATTCTTTTTATAGATGATTAATATGTCATGCAGCTATTACTTACTGATCTTGCCATATGATTATTTAACAAAGTGGTTTAGTAGGTTTTGGAATGGAAAAGAGAATAAAACCCCGGCAATATCACTAAGTAGCTTGTTAATTCTTTCATGAGGAATTAGTGCAGATTGATATTTGATATATTGTATTGTGGTGCAGGTACACATCTTTCCCAGGTCTGTTTCCATTGTTGTCAAGGGGTCAATTGCCATTAGTCAAGGTGGAGGAAATATCACAGACCATTGATGCTGAAAGTTTTACTGTGCAGAACTGTGTTCAGTTCTCTGGGCCATTGGCCTCAAGTTCTATTAGCACAAATGCTAAATTCGAGGTCCGAAGCCCCAAGCGTGTGCAGGTATGTTGTTTAAGGCTATACTTTTCTTCCGTTAAACTAATTTTAAAGTTGTTCTGTCTCTCACAGTCAGCATTTTGAATGTAACTGAACCTATCTGTGTATCCAAATGTCATACTAAATAATTATTCATTATGCTTTTTCCTTTTTGAATGTCCCCAAACAGTTTTAATGGGCAACTAAAGCCTGTTTAATCATGACTATGTCATTAGAGGAACCTGCTACGCTTGCTAATGGACAAAAGAACTTAATGTTTCTTTATGTTCTATGTAGATCAAGTTTCAAGAAGGCATAATTGGAACTCCCCAGCTGACAGACTCCATAGTCTTACCAGAAAATGTGGAATTTCTGGGACAAAAAATTGATCTCACTCCTATTAAAGGCTTGCTCACCTCTGTGCAAGACACAGCTTCCTCTGTTGCAAAGACGATTTCCAGCCGACCACCATTGAAGTTCTCGTTATCAAACAGCAATGCAGAATCATGGTTACTTACAACATACCTGGATGAAGAACTGCGGATTTCAAGGGGAGATGCTGGGAGCGTTTTTGTGCTCATCAAGGACGGCAGTGCTCTCCTGACACCATGAACTAAAGTCTAGATTCCTTTTCTTCTTCGTCCTCAGCCTTTCATCAGTGTATCTGTTCTCCTGGTTTCTGTTAGATTGATGTGAGATATAAATAGGTAATACATGGGCATGATTCTATTTATTATAAGACTTGATTTTAACTTGCTGTTCCCGGGTATGCAAGAGTTGATATAATATTTGAAATAGATATATTTATCTTGCACTGAATGTTTTAATCTTTTATTCTATTAGAGCACGAAGGCAAACCTACAAAATTTGTGTCTACATTGTCTCGTTCAAATTCTACTTTAATTACAGTTGATTAATTATGTAAACAGTGCGCTATTAGTTTTTGGATTATTTACCTTATATATTGAAAATTGTAATTTATGTATTATGACAAAAGTCAAAATATTGTTTAGAAATAATGATAAAATTCAATATTAAAGACAAATTTTATTTTAATCCCATCTTCTTTCAATTAGTGAATTGTTATAGGTGCAAATATAAGTATGACTTTAAATGCTTGAGATTTTAATGTATTTTTGCTCTCAACTCAAACTTGAATAACGAATGGTATAAAAAAGTAAAATTCTTCACCATTGCTGCCAAGTATATGATAATGCTAAAGCAAAACAAAGTATAAATCTCCTTTGTAATGTGGTGTGAATCACGATGTGCATAAGCAAAACATAAACAAAGAAACACAGAATATTTTCCCCGAGAAGATTGACTTGCGCTCTGGCATTAGCAAGCTCCTAATCTGCATCTGTTAACTTTATAATTTGCTCACGAATTCTTCTACTTTTCTTTTCTCGTTTTAGCTTTATCAAGTAGTTAAGCAAAGTAGAGATGCCCTGTATATTTCAGCTGCTCTTTGCAAGCAATATCAATCTATAAAAACCCCCCAGGGCATTGCATCATTAAAATTTTCAATTCAGGCAGCCTAATTATATATCTAGAGTGACACAGAAATTAACGAGCGAGAGAGAAAGACATCGATGGCGAAAGAAATAATTATCTCGAAATCTGAGATCAATAAGTTTGATGAAATGAGAGAGGCTTATGCAAAAGTTTTGTCAAATGATGCTCATGGCTTGAAGGGAATTTACCAGAAAAATCCTGAAGCCTTGTTCAATCAAATCACGGCTTGTAGGGATACTATATTTCACATCGCAGCATACAAAGAAAGTGAAGAAGTGCTTCAAGCTCTGGTTAAAATGGTGCCACAGTCTAAGAAGCGAGAGCTGCTGAAGATGAAGAACCTTTATGGGAACACAATTCTCCACGAGGTGGCCACCACTAACAAAATAAAAGCAGCAGATTTATTAATTAGAGAGTTGTTGTTCTCTGATGGTCCTTTGAATCGTGAAAATGATATCCGCGAACGGGAAGAGATACTGGCAGATCGAAACAAATTAGGCGAAACCCCACTATTCAGGGCTGCAGAATATGGCAAGAAAATGATGGTGATGTATTTGGCAAAAGAAATTGAACAAGTCGGGAATCTTCAGAATCACTACAAAAGAGATGATGGAGTCTCCATTCTTCATATTGCTGTGATCGGCCAACACTTTGGTATCTGATCTCTCTGTCAGTCTGTCTTTACCATTCTATTTGTTGTTTTGTTTAAATTGTTAGACTAACTCAACATTCTATATTTTGTATTTCAATTCAGAGACGGCTATTTGGTTTCTGAAAAAGGATGCCCAGCTTGCAACTTACAAAGACAAGAATGGGAAGACAAGTCTTCATCTCCTGGCAAGCATGGCAACTGCTTTTAAGAGTAGTTCCCCCACCTCCAGCATGTTCAAGGAGTTAATCTATTATTGTATGTCTTCTAATTACCAGCTAGTGCATATCATATATAATTATATATTATTACCACCCTGGAAGTGTTATTGGGTCGGGTCAATTTTCAAACTTTATCCGAAGGTCTAACCCGTTTGTGGAGACTCAAATAGATACAATCACAATTAAAAATATTAAAATAACTAAAAATTATTATTATAGTAATATTTTAGTATTTTTAAATATATTTTAAAATTAAATTTAAATAAAAGTTTTATTAATAAAAAATAATACAAATCGGGCTAGGACTGGGCTTTAAAATTCCTGTTTAGAGTGTAACGTGTTCATGATCGACCCATGAACTTGATGAACAATCCGATCCATAGATTCGTTTATTTCTCCTGCCCATTAAAAGAAAAGAAAACCTTTATCATAAAGAACTATAATAGTAATTGTGGCTCTATTTCTTTGATCAAAAGCACCCTTAATGACTCAGTTTAACCGTTAAAACGTTGTTTGTTTGAAGGCCTTCCGAGCGATTCATGTAATGATCAGGATGAGATCGATCAGCTTCCGTTAAATCTTCAGAGCAAAGATTTGGAACAGGGTGAGTCAAGTCAAGGTCTCCATCAATCAAAGCGCTCCAAAGGTAATTTTTGGCAATGGGAATTAGAACTTGGAAGATTCATGAATTGTAGTCTTTTCGATTAATTTATTTTGATTTTTTTTATTGCAAACATTTATAGCTTAGAATGAATTTCTAACAAAGCGATGTCAAAACCATCTCTTGTATTACAGGTATCAAGTTGTATTGCGCTATTTTGCGGCGCCTCGCCGGAGGTAAGAACTAATTGATTCTCTTACTGCGAATTTAGTTAAGCATTTGTTTGAATCCCCCTTCGCTAAATAAAAAAAAATATATTCTATGATACGATGATTATATGTATGTCATATGTGGGTACACAGGATGGAAAATGCTTGATCGGATATGGAGCCGAAAGATAATGTATGCATCAGCTGTAAAACTGGCGAAGATGCTAGTGCAAACGGATGCTTCGTGGTTTGAGCCTCATGAAGCAGAGGAGGACGACATAATTTGCTTGGACAGAAAGGAAGATGAAGAAGAAAGGGTGAAGAAGAGTGCATCCAACGGAAAGGAGTACTTACGTGAACCTGATACGCCGTTGTTTATTGCAGCCAGCACGGGCATCGTTGAGATTGTGAATGAGATACTCAACGTGTACCCTCAAGCAGTTGAGCACATTAGTAAAACAGGACAGAACATACTTCATGTCGCTACTTTGCATCGTAAATACCGTGTGTTTAATATTGTGAAGAATAAGGATAAGGCAAAGAGGTTGGCTAGGGGGATTGATAGTCATGGCTGCACCATATTGCACCATGCTGCTGACACCAAATATTATCAAGGAGGAACCAAACCTACTCCTGCTCTCAAACTGCAACAGGAGTTGACGTGGTTTGAGGTAATTTGTCCTTTTTAATAATATTATGGATGCATTTAAGATTTTATTTTCGAAATATTTCATAAAAATCTGATTGACAAAGAAAGGGTTTACTTTTTATCTGAAATCCACCAAGTCAAAAAATTTTTTAAAAAATTCATAGTACTTAATCCTCTTTAGTTCAAGTTGAATTAGAATCGCATACTACTTTAAATTCACTACTAATTTAGGAATATTAATGACTGTATTGTTCTTGCCTTGATGCAGAACGTGAAAAATCAAATACCCTCTCATTTCACCATGCACTGCAACAAAGAAAATATGACAGCAGATCAGTTGTTCAAGAATATGCACCTAGAGCAACTTAAAACCGCACAAGACTGGGTGAAGAACACCTCTCAGTCTTGCTCAACCGTCGCTGTTCTCGTTGCTACTGTTGTCTTTACAGCTGCCTACACCGCACCGGGAGGTTTCCTGCAGAGTAAGTGCTTAAAGTCTAGTTACTGCTCAATTTAGTAGTACAACTATTTTAATTGGTAAAGGAAAAAAAAAAGAGTTTTTGATCTTGTATCATGGCTGCAGATGGTCGTCCCATTCTCCTGGAAAAACCTCTCTACTCGTTTTTCACTGTCATGGACATTGCAGGCCTGGCAAGCTCCTTGACCTCGGTGGTGATCTTCCTCTCTATCCTCACTTCTTCACTTGAGTTTGAAGATTTTCTTCACACGCTCCCTCGGAACCTCTCACTTGGCTTCACCTTTCTCTTCTTCTCTGTCACCTCGACCATGCTCACTTTCACAGCCACGATTCTACTTCTCGTTCATTTGGAGAAAAAGTGGACTGCAACTCTAACATATGCCGCTGCATTCCTTCCTATCTGCGTATTTGCTTTGTTTCAATTCCCTCTATACTACCAGTACTTCGTTGCTGCTGTCAAGAGCATTTTCGATTTTCTTAGGAGGAATTTACCTGGTAACTGGGAGTTTCTTCAGATTAAAGATGATTATTGATTAAGAACCACAAAGACTTTATTCATGGAATTTTGGGAAGTCTAGATATTGTTTGCTTAAACACCTTTATTCATGGATTGAATATTATTGGTGTATTTTTTTAATTTTATTTTATCATGTCTATTAAGCCTTGCTAGTCTTCAATAATAACAAGCGTTGTTCAAGTAAAACTTTATTTTTCATTAATTCCAAATTTTCCTTTGATTTCCTTATTAAATTGGTAAGATTAGAGGTAATCTGAAGTTGTCCTCCTCGAGAATGACTACTGAAGCTTGTCTAAGATTGACTGAAGTGTCCCATTGGCTAAAATTACACCTTCATTGCCCAAATTCTATTGCCTCTTCGTTCATATCCTCACTGTGGGTTGATGATTTCGTTTTTCAAAGTGATTTAAAAGATAAAATGTTTCATGAGCTCAAGTAGCTTCCCTGTTCCATTGGTTAAATATAAATCTCTCCACTTTTCTTGTTGCAAAAGAAATTGCCGTGATTTTTAAAACCATAAAATGTACCCAAAAAGGGAGAAAATACTGTAAATATCTGTTTGTTGTAGAGTAAAATTTATAAACTTGTTTTCTTGCTCAGCCAAATCAACCAAATGAGCGGAGCCGCGGAGTTCAACCACTGTGAAACAGAACACAATACCAGGCCAGGATACAAAAATCTCAAACCTCAAACAACTCGAACCAAAAAAAAAAAAAAACAGCAGAGGCACCTTAAAACTGGGAACAAAAGCAGAAACACCCAAAATGACCTCAACCTGGAATAATAGAGATCAAGGAACCAAGAAATGGAAATATTAAATCATTACTACCAGGCCAAACTGTACTACTGTTTTATCTGGCTTGATTATCTAAATCAGTTTTTACATCCTACTAGCATCAATGGTTCAAAACCTTAACATTTATAAAATTAGGCAGTTGATTGTTATTATTTGAAATGTTAGAGAGTAATTCGTCCACTGTAAATAGAAACGTAGTGAAATTTCTAACACGCCCAAAACGTTTTCTAAAATAATATCCATACTTTCTCCCTCTTGAATTCTTCTTTGTGTTATAGTTCTTGGGTTTTAAAAAACTTTGTTATCAACGAGAACAATGAAAAGCGAATTCCTTTAAGACTGCTATGCCAGCTATGTAAAGAAGTGAACATCAAACAAAGCATAATCAACTTTGCAAAGTGGAGTGAATCACATTATGGCCAAGTTTTTCTTTTTTTGAGACAAAGAAAAAATGGAAATTCCTTGCTATTATAAAAATTAATTTCTTCTCGAGCACATTGGCTTGGTTCTGGCATATAGTCTTTACTCTTTTAGTGCATTTCTGAACTTTATTATGTTCTTATGAATGTTTCAACTTTCTTTTCTTGGTTTAGCTTTATCAACTAATCAAGCAAAGTAAACGATACATTTCGTTGCTGTTTCAAGTAAATATGAGTCTATAAAAACAAGGCATCGGGGCTGCATTTTGGCTATGAGACTGCATAAATCCATACAGTTCATCAAGATTGACAAAGAAAGGAGAGAGAGATATGGAGAAAGAAATAGCTAGTGAGAGAGAGATGGATAAAGTTGAAGACATAAGACAAACTTATGGTAAAATCCTGAGAGGTGACGCTCATGGCCTGAAGAGATTCTACCAAAACAAGCCTGCTGATGCCTTGTTCGATCAAATCACGGCTTGTAAAGATACTGTATTTCACATTGCAGCTCAGAAAGGAAGCAAAGAAGTAATTGTAGCTCTGCTTAAGATGGTGCCAACGCCGAGGAGACTTGAGCTCTTGAATATGAAGAATATTCAGGGAAACACAATTGTCCATGAGGTGGCCACCACTGAAAATGTTGAAGTGGCAGATTCTTTGCTCAGAAAGCTGTTGTCGTCAAATGGACCAACAGTTAATAATGAGCTAGATATTGGGGTGATAAGAAAACAGACTTTGGGGGATCGAAATAATTTAGGAGAAACACCACTGTTTAGGGCTGCAGAATTTGGTAAAACTGCAATGGTAAAGTTTTTGGTGCAACAAGTTGAAGAAGTTGGAAATCTACATGATCACTATAGAAGAGATGATGGTGTCACAATTCTTCATTGTGCTGTACTCGGCCAATACTTTGGTATCTCTGTCTGTTTTCACCATTTACCAATGTAATTATGTTTATTAATTGTTTTGTTTAACTCGACGTTTTTCTTGGCTTTCAATGCAGACACAGCTATTTGGTTACTGAAAAAGGATCCACTGCTTGCAACTTATAAAGACAAGAATGGCAAGACAATCCTCCACCTCCTAGCTAGGATGCCAACCGCATTTAAGAGTACTTCTGATATGAAAAAATTGGAGTTGTTCATCTACAATTGTAAGTATTCTAATTACAATTCCAGCAGGATAAAAAAATCTTTATTGGTTGTGGTCCAATTCTTTGAATTGAATCTTTTTGTTGTATTTAAGAAATTTTCACCATTTTGGTTTCTTTGTTCTATTTACAGGCTTTCCGAGCCATTCAGATGATGATAATGAAGCAGGTCAGCTTTGCTCAAGTCAAATGAATGATTTGGAGTGTGGCAAGCTGAGCAAAAGCCACCATCTGTCAAAACGCTATACCGGTAAAGGCTAAGTACCAATTTTTCAGAATCTAATTAGTCGGGTCAAGATAGATTTTTTGCTTCCAATCAAGTCAAATATAAACTTATTACTTTATATATAAATGTCCAAAGAGAACAAATTGGATATGTATTCGGTCATGTTTAAGCAATTAATTTTATGGAAATTGGAAAGTTATAAATTCTTTTTTGCAAAAGTTGGATAACTTGTACATGTGGTTAGGATTGTGATTTTTCATAGACTTTTATTTCCATCATTTTAATCTTCTAAGCCTTTTTATCATCTAAATATAGATTATTAATCACACTCCATTCTACTTTTTGTTTCCAGATTCTAAGATGAATCGCACTATTTGCAAGTGGCTTGCTAACAGTAAGATTTAATTGTCTTAATTTGACTACGTTAAATACCTTCCCGTTTTGTCTTATTGTCGGTTTTCGCCACTTTCAGATTACTTTAATTATTAGAAGTTAGTCCAATTATTCGTCATCTTTAAAATGGTAATTCTTTTGCATGTTTACATGTGGTTAGGATGGGAAACACTTGGCGGAATCTGGAAAAGGAAAATAACGCATACTCTAGCTGTCAAACTGGTGGAGATGCTGGTGAGGAGGGATACGACATGGTTCGTGGCCCATGCACAAGAACAGGACACAATCTGCTTAGAAAGAAGGCAAAGGGAGGAGGCAGAAATTAAAATTGAAGAAGGCATCAGTAAAATTGGATCCTCAGGAAAAAGGAGTAAATCACCTGATACACCTTTGCTAATTGCAGCTAGCACTGGAATCATGGAGATTGTGACGTTGATACTGAAGGTGTACCCTCAAGCAGTGGAGCATGTTAGTCAAAAAGGGCAGAACATATTGCATGTCTCAATTTTGCACCGTCAAGTCAAGATCTATGAACTAGTAATACATCAGAAGAAAGAGGCAGCAAAGAGGTTGGTTTTAGGGATCGACAATGATGGCAGCACCATATTGCACCATGCTGCCGATACCACACATTATAATGGAGGAATCAGGCACAATCCTGTTCTCAAACTTCAAAAGGAGTTGGAATGGTTCGAGGTTAATTAGTCTCTTTCAATCCTGATTTGGACTAACTTGCTTGTTTTAATCGTTAATTATTGTGATGTTTTCTATATCTAGGTTGTATAATTAGTACTAACCTGATTTCAGAGGAACGTGAAAAACAAAATTCCCCATCCTTATATCATGCACCGCAACAAAGACAATCATACTGCCAAAGACTTGTTCGACCAGCAACATAAGGATCAACTTACAAAAGCACAAAAATGGGTAAAGGAAACTTCCCAATCAAGTTCAACAGTTGCAGTTCTCGTTGCTACTGTTGTTTTTGCCGCTGCCTATACTGCACCAGGAGGTTTCCATGGTAAGTTCCTATATCTTTTCCTTTGTATTTTACATTGTATTCATGTACATCATTTCTTACAGTAACATATATATATATATATATATTTATATACTCTTTCTCATGATCAGCACAAAGCGGTCGGCCCGTTCTCCTTACAACAGAAAAGCCTCAGTACTTGTTTTTCACAATCATGGATATCGCTGGCCTCGCAAGCTCCTTGACTTCACTGGTGGTCTTCCTCTCTGTCCTCACATCTTCCCTTGAGTTACAAGAGTTTAGTAATAGGATCCCTCGGAACATCTCAATCGGCTTCACCTCTCTCTTCTTCTCTGTGACGGCAACCATGTTCACTTTCACTGCAACAATTTTCCTTCTGGTTCGGTTGGAGAAAACGTGGACTGCAACTCTCACATATGCTGCCGCGTTCCTTCCTATTTCCATATTTGCGCTGTTTCAATTCCCTTTATACTATGAATTCTTTGAGGCTGCTGTCAAAAGCATTTTGGACTTTATAAAGACTATGTTACCGACATGTAGGACCGGTTTTATGCCAAACAATATAAATTAGTAGCTCCCATTTATGGCTAGGCTGAATATTGGTGTATTTTAAAGGAACTTAAATGTTACAATATGAAATCTCTTATGTTCTCAATAAAAATAAGCTAAACATTTTAAAATTTAACTCCACAATGAACCTTTACAATAATTTTATTTATCATATATATCTATATATATATATATATATTTTTCAGCTAAAGAATTTGAAAAACACCTTAATTATAATTAAAAAATCATCCAAACTCTTTTTTTTATTGCAACCAATTAACTCTGCTAATATTTATTTGTATTTTATTAAATTCTTATTTAAATGAAAAACTAAACATCGTTAATTTTTTGACAACTAAAATAAAATTTCATGTCACATCAATAAAATAGCAAAAATTTGTCATATAACACAATTAATATACGTAAAAGTTAACTAAAATAAACTTTTATTTTTATTCTTTTATTTTTTAATTTTCTCTTCTCGTCTTTCTCTCTAAAATTCTTAAGAATTCAATTGATTGTAATTTGGAGATTGATTGATTTGATTTTATAATATGACTAAATTTCATCCAATTAAATGTTCATATAAATCAAAATAAAAGATTAAGAATTTGATTGATCATAATAAAATAACAGAAACTTAGATAATTATTAAGTTTTATTTGAAGGCTTTTTTATTCTTTTGCTTGTTTTTAGATTGTTTATTAGAGATAGCAAGTTATATAATTTTTTTAATTTTTAATAAAGAATTGAGAAAAATAATAAAAAAAAATCATTTCCCAAGTTTTATCCAACTTTTTCAAGTAATTTACATTATTTTGACCTCAATTTTTTAAAATTAGATTATTTTTGTCCTCCCTCCTAAACATAGATTGGTGTTGAATTTTTTTCTAATTAATACTAATATATAATAGTTATCCCTAACCCATTCTTATTAGATCGATGCATCAATACCTATGCCAAGTAATATAATGCATAAAAAAATAATTTGGGGGTTAATTGATGTTATGAAACTTGCAGGTTTATTTTGTCATTTAACATGTAATTTTTAGGGTTAATTGAGATTGAGTTGTTTTAAATTGTTTTAGGCTTTTAACTACTGATTTTAGGGTTAATTATGTCTTTTAACATCTCTCCTCCTTTTTGCTTTTTATTTTTAAAAAAAGATTAATTATCTATTTAATATCCGAACCATAATTAAATTTTTATTGGATATTTAAATTTTAAAAATTCATAATTAAATATTTGAATTTGATTTTTGTCCTCCAATTTACACTTAAAACCAATATTGTTAATCAAATGAAGTAATAAAATTGTAATACATTTCATATTTTAATTGGGTATTTTTAAACACCATATATTTGACTAAGTGTGATGATCTCCTGCGTAAACTAAAATTTTGATTACAATTGAAATATTAATATATAAATAAATTTTTAAAAAATTATTATCATTGTAACAATAATACCATCTAAGAACATATCACCGTATTAGGTGAATATAGTATTTGATATTTTCAAACAGGATAAGATTATTAGAGGATTCCAATTTCTTTGTTTTTCATATTGTAAACATTTTATTAAAAAGATCAATTTATTTAAACAATACTAGAAAGACTTACTAATGTAATGAGATACTATGTTATTTTTTTTTTTGTGTAATTAAGGTTTTTATATAATCATATAAAACATTAGTGTTTAAATTAGGAACAAGATGAAATTTTTTTTTTTAAAATTTTAATCCACCTTTCATCTTTCGACTTTTATTTATTAATTTATTTGAAAATAAATTATACGTAAATTCATTTAAGTTTGTAACTTTTAAAAGTTTAACTAGCATATATTTTTACATACAATATGTTTGTTTCTTTTTTTTTTTTTTGTGTGTTGAATTTTTTGGTGTTTAGTTGTTAATATATAGGTCTTTTTTGTGTTGAATTGTTAGATGTTTTTCTGTGAATTCAGTTACTAATGGAAGCTAACACGTTACAAGTTTATTCAACTTTACACTAGTATATAACTTTCTTTTGAAATATCATAATCAGGTCGTATAGCAACTTTAATTATTTTGTGATCTAATCATGATGATAAATAAAAATTTTTTCAATGAATTGATTTGAAATCTCATCATCTTTCAATCAATTAATGTAAATATTCAAATATTTTTTATGAGAAAAAATTTAAATACTTTTAATAGTATATTATTCATTGTTTAAACTAATATATAATTTTATTATACACCCGCAACGAAGTGTGGGCTTCTATCTAGTATTTGAATGAAAGTTGCCCTGTGAATTAATTTTATGCCAAGTTTAAAACCCTTAGTTTAGAAATTAAAATGAGGTATGATATAGTTGAAGACTTGAAATCACCTAACATGTCATGTACCATTTATATAGCAATAATATTGCTAACTTTGACTTAACTGATCCATATAATGGATTTTTTTTCATGTCCATTTTTTTTTATTTTGGATTTTTGGTTTTTTTATCTTTTTTTTTTTGACTTTTTACCTTTTTTTGGGTTAGAATATTTGGTTAAATTAATTTTATACATGAAAAATAATTAAGGTGATTCTAATAATTAAGACAATACGAATTTAATTTTTAATTTATCTCACTTCAATAAATGCAATTTTATTCGATATCTTGTCAATTTTTTTATTTAAAAATCGAGTCGACTTACAACCTGATTAGGGTGTTTCATCGTACATATATATTAAAAATATATATTTTAGTCTTTTATTCGGTACATATTTATATGTATCTATCATATTAATCAAACTATTATTGAATGTTATAATTTAACCAAATATTGCATATCTATAGTTGATTAAGATGTTATCCATACAATAAAAATTGTAAAGATTGGAGCAAAGTTAGCATGTCTATGTGTCACACCGTTTCTTTTTCTTCACTTTTTTTTTTAATTTTTTTCCGGATATTTTAGTTTTTGAATTTTTTTTATTAGATAAATCATAAAATAAGTTTTTTAGAGGTTTTAGTATAGGAAGGTATGCACGTGGCACCTCTTTCTTTTTTTTTTTGTTTCAATTTTGTAAAGTTTTTTATTTGTATAATCCATATATTTGACTTTATTTTTTTAAGTAGATAAATTTTATAAAAAAAAAAAAATCAATGAAACTAGGAATTATTAAACTGATAGATTTCAATTCATTCCAATTTGAGATTAGATCAAGATATTTTCTTTTTTGGAAAATTAAGATTAAATTAAAAGCAAGTTTAGGATGTTCCATCCTATTATAGGTGTATATAAAATATATATATATATATATATATATTATTTATACATACATTAAATGTTTTAAAACTTTTGGGTTCAATGAAATGTCCACATTACACCACCTTAGTTTTTTTTTTTAATTTCTTTTCAACTCTTTGTCTATTTTTTATTTTTATTTAATGAAATGATAGAGGTGGGTGAATAAGTGAGTTGGGTGATTCCGGACACCTTCCCTTTTTTATAATTTTTTATATTTTATTTTATATTTCTTTTCTTTCATTTTTTTCTTTCATATATATCTATCTATCTTTCTATATTATAAATGTTACAAATTTTTAAGGAGGTTGGGGATGTCCACATAGCATCCTTTCCTTTTTTTAATTTTGTTCTTTAATTTTTTTTTTTAATTTGGTTCTTCCTTTTTTATGTTTTTTTTTGATATTTTTACTTTAATTTTCTAATTAACTATATTTTGTAAAAAAAAATAATAAATATAGAGATGACAAAATAACCCATATCTAATCAATTTTTATTCGCCCCAATCTAATAGATGCATTTTTAAAGTTTGAGATTGGAACGAAGTTTTTTTTTTTTAAATCGAGATCAGGTTGAAGCCGGGATTACCTTGATATTTTTCTTTTTATTTTTGCCTAATATTTTTATTTGCATCTATTTATGACATAATTAACTTTTTTTCTTTGTGATTTCGTTAAGTAACCCAAAATATATGATCCAACAGCAAGTGATTGTTATAAAAATAAGTATTCTTTCCTTTATTCTTGAATAAGATTTAATTGTATTGCAACGATTCATTCTTTGTTCATTTTAAGTTCAGGGGTTATTTAAGATTAAAAACTAGATTGCAGCAAAAAACAAAATTAAGAATGTAACACGGATCAATGTAAATGTTTTTTTTTTTTCTAGTTAAGCATTTCAAATGAGCATATCCAAAAGCAATCATTAACTTTGACCATCATGTATGACAACCAATATGAAGTTTATGTACTCCGTTTACTTCTTGTTTTACACACATACGTGATGATTGGTTCTTTATAAATTAAATTGACAACATATTTCTCACTTTTATGAACTTGAAAACTTCAAAATTTTATTATTTGCTTTCTGTGAATCTTTTCACATAAACTTCCATATTGGTATATATTGGTGGTGAATGTCATAATGATTAACCAAGTATGACCTTGATTGAACTAATTTTTGCAATGAAGTACTATATTTTAATGAAGAAGATAGATGTATACCTGCCATTAAGTTAATGTTACCGATGTTTGTATGAGGAATTGTTGTACATCATTTTGGTCTTCTTCATGTTATCAATGAATTAGTGGAGCTTCTTTTCCAAAAGGGCCTTATAAAGGCGGTTTTTGCCACAAATTGTAAGATCATCACAAGGCACCCAACCGTCTTTCATGATGTGTGCTCTATGTCATTGGTCATTATGTTTATAACTTATATGTCAATGTTGAATATCTTTATTAATGATGAATTTTGTTTATTACAATTTGCAATGGGTTAAAATATGCTTGCAAAGACTGTTGTATTCACTTCTGGTAAGAAACGGGATGATGACAGCATCGTTACATTGGATTTGGTGAGTATATCAAAGTGTGAATATTTTGTTACCTTTACTTTTAACTAATCAAGACCATTTTTAGTATGTTGATGGTCATTTACTATGTTCTAAACCCTATAGATGAGTTTTTTCCCTCTCGTATTATGCTGCTTAGAAGCTAACAATGTAGTCACTTGGTTAGGACTGCTGCTTGAGTCATATCTTAAGTTTTGTATTAAATCATTACTATTAGAGGTTTGATT